CATTTCAGGAGAAAGAAAGAAATAACTGAAAACAAATCCATCCATGCCTGCCTGCATGCCAGCAAATCAAAAGCAACTTATCATTAGCTGAATTGATAATGGCTAATATACGCAACCAAACTGGTATGAACACCTGACCCCATTTATCACTAGATTATATGGTGGCCAATGAAAGCGCCACAGTTTCTGTCCCATGAAGCCAGATTGACAGGAATGGTGTGCCAAAGAAATGCAGGCTCCAGACTGTTCTGAAGCAGCTCTGGCACGATGTTCTCTTTCATTTTCCCTGCAAGGGAAATTTGAAAGACGGCTCTAACTGACCAAGCCACAAATTTAGGCTGTAGTTTCTTGAGTAGTAGCCTTACAATTGCTCCTCTGAGGAAAACAAAAATCCTCTTAAAGAGGCAAGCAATGACAATCTCCACAAAAATTAATTTACTTACCGGTAACTGGAGTTCTTGTCCCTTACATGATCCCACACGCTAAGCCCACAGAGATTTTTGCCTTAGAAGTACCCATAGGCTACACTTCAGCACTTATTCCCCGTGTGCTCCATCCCAAGAGGATAAAGAACTGTGAGCACTTCCAAGTCCTCAGTTTTCTTTCAACAGCAGAGCTCTACGTTGCACTTGCTCCTGAGGAAGAAAGAAGGGAGGGTAGGATTTAAAAGTATGCAGAAACAGATCTAGGATGCTGAAAAGGAGGGGTGATAGTGGTGGCAGCAAGCTTACTACAGATGCAACCAGTGGCTGAAACCAGAGCTCTCAGCAGTGAAAGGGGTATGTTTGCACCACCACACCCACTGCATCTGCCCCTGAGTGTACATGAACACTACAGCTTGAGGAACTTCAGTTACTAGTAAGTAGCTGTTTTCTCCTGTGGCTAGTTGTCCACATGCACATTATCTCTTGTGGGTGACTCCAAAGGAATACTCAACATATACCTTAATGTGGGCCCCATCATTCCCTAGGCAAACAGAGATGGGAAAACTTCCTCACTACATGCAGCAGCAGTTTGGGTGGCTTCCAGAATGGCATAATGCATAGGCAAAGGCATGTACCAAGCTGCAGGTGGCTGCTCTGCAGGCATGAGTGACAGGAACACTGCACGGAGAGACTCAATATTAGTTTCTTAGGCTTTGGTGGAAAGTTGCTCTTACTGCAATGTAGCTTGCATAGTGCTGCAGAGGGACTTGACCTTGGGTCTGAGGCTGAAGCAAGGGAACTCGCTAGGAAGAAGTGTCTTTGTTCTCCTTGGGATTTTTATAGGTCCCAGTTTGAAAGACTGACAGATTGAGCATAAGCTTGGAATGAGAGTCTCTCCCACTTAGAAGACACATGTCTTGTATTGTATGTTCAGCTTGTGGAAAAGGCACTTAAGAGGGGGCACGACAGCAGTCTTCAAAAACTTGAAAGGCTGTCATAAAGAAGAGGGAAAGCACCTTTCTTTTCTCTCTTGCTGCAGAGACAGGACACAGACCAATGGCTTGAAGTTTCAGCAAGGTAAGTTTAGATTGGATATCTGGAAAAACTTCTTCACCATTAAAATAGTGAGGTCAAGAAACAGACTGCCTAGGGAAGTTACAGACTCTCTGTCACTGGAGGTGTTCAAGAAGAGGGTGGACAGCCTTTGGTTGGGGATGATCTAGGTGTAGCTATGCCTCTGTTCTACTATGGCTATTTCCTATGCTTCTGGGCTTTTATGGTTGCCCCAACTCCCCACTTTCTGCTACATGTATCAGGGTGTTGGGTGTTAAGTTTTCCTCAGAGTTATTGACTGTTGGCTACAGCCAAAGCTGGGAACTTTGAATGGGGTGTACCAATGTTCCTGCCGAGACCAAAGTTGGAGGTTTTTGGCTATAGGGTCTTGCCCCTCTCCTCAGGGTCAGACCAACCACCTTATCTGGGTCAGGAAGGAAATTTGCCCCATGGTCAGATTGGTATGGGGTGGGGGGGAAGAGGAGGGAGGCAGGTTGCCTTCCTCTGTAGCAGGGGGCATGACCCTCTACCTGGGATTTCTTGAGCATTTATTGACATTTCATGGAAGCAGGATGTTAGCTGCTGTGGTTCCCCCGCTTTCCCTGTGACAGAGTAGGATGTTAGGTCTGTGTTGTGCCAGGGTTGATGGTAGTTTTATAGAGTTTAAATTATGGATTGTATAGGATGGGTTGGATAGGGATGATCCTGCCTCAAGCAGGGGATTGGGATAGATGACCTTTAGAGTCCCTACCAGCCCTGCTTCTCTATTATTCAATGATTGCCATCTGATGCTAGGATAAAGCCATCAAAGGTGGGACAAAGATCCCAGAGAGCACTTGGAAGTCTGATGCCAAGACATAACAAGAAGCAGCCCTGCCACCTCTTCAGGAAGACGCTGATTCCAAGACTGAAAGAGTCCATAGGGAAAAAGAACCCAAAACTTTGGGGTGTTGACAAACTTACTGTGAGGAAACTGGGAATGCAAAGTTGCCAAGCTACAGCCACTGGCCTGAAACCTGAAGACAATATCTCAGCTTCTGTTCCTTGGACGGTGAAGCACCTGAATGAAAGAGCAGGAGGCAGGGGTGAGCAGGGACTTTTGAAGACTTACTAAAGAGTCGGGTACCTTCTATGATCCATTAGGCTTAAACATCTTCGAATCTCCATGGTGTTCCATCTCTGAACAGCTGCTGAAAGGAACCAAGGAGTAAGGAAGCATATGCTGCCATTTACTTCCTCAGTATGGGGCCTGAGGGGAGATCAGCCTAAACGGGGGCGGGCAAAATACAGCCTGTGGACTGGACCCGGCCCACCAGGCCATTCTATCCAGCCCATGGGGCCCAGCCAAAAAAACAATCATTACCAGCTTGTGTCTGCCCCTCTGAAAGCCGGCGGGAGGTGGGCTTTCAGAGGTCATGTGCCATTGGACCAGGTGGGCTCTGTGCTTTCACCTCCGTGGGGCTCCTGGCACTCTGTTTGGGAGCCTTATATGGAGGCACTGAGTGTGGTGATGCATGACTGGACAGCTGGTGAGTGGGGAGGGGAGCTCCTGCCTGCAGGGAGGGGGGTTTGTGGGTGGGAGTGGGCCCCCCACCACAGTGCACAGCCCCCACTGCTGGTGGCAGCAGCAAGCCGCAGGCCCTCGGGGAGTTCCTGGCCTGCTGCAGGCAGAGCCCCCAGTGGCACATGGCTCTGGCTGAATCCCAGATGTTGCATGTGCCAACATGTGGGGCTCCTGGCACTGCAGGTGGGAGCTGCGTGCCATTGGGCTGGGCCGGGCCAGCTCCATGCCTCCACATGGGGCTTCCACCACTCCAGTGTGGAGCCGCATGCAGAGGTATTGGAGGCCACCTGGCCCGATGGCACACGACTCCCTGTGGCTCCCGGTCCACACATCATTGGACTGGGGGGGTTCCATGCCCCTTGTGCAGCTCCCTGTTGGAGTGCTGGAAGCCCCACGTGGAAGCACTGGGCCCAGCCCAATGGTGCATGGCTCCTGCCTGTAGTGCTAGGAGCCCCATATACCTGCATGGAGCCAGCACAGTTTGGCTTGAAGATGTGCACCAGCAGGCTAGGCCAGATCCATGCTGCCACATGCAACTCCTGGGATTCAGCCGGAGCAGTGCACTGCTGGGGGGGCTCTGCCTGCTGTGGGCCAGGAGCACCCTGACAGCCCGTTGCCTGCTGCTGCTGCCAGTGGTGAAAACTGTGAGCATGGGGGGAGGTGTGTAATGGGGCAG